TCACTCATTATTAACAGAATACTTACAGTGAAAATAACAAGGATCGGATGACTACAACATATATCTTCCATACATCTGATTGTTCAGATATGGGATTTTACTGTAAAACTCCTTTATTTGAACAGCTAAAACCGATAAATTTCGTAAGATATTTTATAAGTAATAATACAAAGTCTACTGAGAAAATCATTAAAATCTATGCTGTATAAGCTTTATCTCCTATAGCACTGATTGTTCAGATACCAGTTTTTGCGATATATCTCCTTTATGTAGGAAACTAAACCCAATAAATTGTGTTACCGGTTTACATACCGATCACATAGCGGTGAAAATCACTTAGATTGGTGCCATATAAAGTATATCTTCCATACCTCTGATTGTTTAGATGCGATTTTTTATATAAGTATGTAACTCCTCTATCGATGTATGCAGATGTATTCAAAATCAGTAATCTGTCAAACTAAAATTTGCAGATGTTCATGAAAGGTATGAAGCCTTCGGCATAGCCGAAGACAGCGCTGCTCTTACTTGTTTTTTAATTAAAAATTGTTTATTTTTTAACCGTTTCATTCTCTGTGCTTTATTTAAAAACTTTCAACAAAATTTCGTAAAAATTTCGAGTTTTTTAATTAGATTTCTTAAAAATATTTTGAGTACTCAGTTTTGTAGCCCATTCAATTTTAATATAATAAAGTGCACGTTTAAGCTAGCTGGGACTTATCGTAGATTTTTGGAAACCTTTTTTCATATAAAAAAAATCGTCGAACATAAATACTTCGTATGGAAGAAAATCACTACCAAAAATTAACGGTAAGCCCTTGCTCCATGATTCAAACTTTCACTTTATTTTACCAAAATTGAATAAGCAACCTGCAGACTCCAAATATTTCTAAATCTAATACAAAATCTCTAAATTTATACGAAAGTTTGTTGATTTTTTTTTTTTAATATTGCACAAAGCTTGAAATTTGTATTCATATGGTTTTTGTTAAAGAGTAAACTATATTTTCATAAAAAGTAATTAAGAGTAAAAAAAAAAATAATAAAATTAATGGTCAAACTTTGTGAGAATGTGAGTGTTGCATAGTAATAATAAGCACTTTATTTTGTAACATATCTTGCGATAACTGTAAACCATTAACTCCAACTGAAAAGCTTTTACTAAACTCTTTTTTTTTTTCTTTCAATTTCATCTTCTTACAGCTCCTTCAACTCAATTAAAAATCACAAGAAAGGGCAACAACGGCGTTCACTTTAGTTGCACATATCAACAGCAGCACCGACAAGCGTAACAATATTTTCGTGTTCGAATTGTGAAATCGTGGGAGATGTCTGCCGTAAGACATCGGCCCCTGGCACCGCCGGGCAATGCCGGCGACAGCGATGACAACTTCACCGATGACGAGAGCACACCATTAACCCAAGATATTTATGGCGGAAGGTAAGCTAAATATATTCACATATATACATATGTATGTATATATACACACATGTACATTAGACCAGGGGTTCTTAAACTTTTAAGATGATGGAACCCTTACTAAACACCTTTCATTTTATGGAACCCCACATCAAATTACTAAAAATCAAAGGCAGTGCGTGTCTAAGGACACGTTTTCGAGATTTGCAATTTACCGTTATTCAGCTTAAAACAAAAAGTGGTTCCACTTAATCACGAATAGCTTACGAACCAATTTAACAATCTTAAAATGATATAAGTCAAATCAAAGCTAATAAAATTCTCTATAAACCATATATACATACATCACTGTCTGATAGAGCTGATAGGTTCTGACAAATTAATTAATCATTCCAGTTTTTTTTATCTTCTAATAAAAAAATGAAAAAAATCAAACTTTCACAGAATAAAAATTTAAAAAATAACAGGTTCTGTGCCAAATTTTTGCATTTGTTCTAAAGCCTGTTCTTTTAGAAAAAAAACTCAAGTTATTGATGAAGAACATCGATAGATAAAAAAGAAATAATGAGTGGTCAAATGAAAATGCGCTAAATATTTTTTGTATGAAATATGAGCAGAAAAGCGTGTTACTCTGGTGTACGTGGCGAATGAGTATCTTTCTTTCCTGCTCATTTTTCACACAAAAAATCTTTTTCAACACTAGTAACTTGATTTTTTTTTTTTTTGTAACAGAACAGACTTTAGCACAAATGCAAAAATTTGCGCATAACCAGTAATTTTTTTAATTTTTACTTCTATTAAAGTTTGATTTTTTTCGTTGAAAAAAAAATAAAAAAAAAGAATGGGCTGATTAATTAATTTGTCAGACACTATAAGTCCGATCGGAACACGATGTATACACGGTTTATGGAGAATTTCATTGGCTTTCATTTGCCTTATTTCATATTAAGACTGTTAAATTGGTTCGTAAGGTGTACGAGATTAAAAGGAACCAATTTTTGCTTTAAACTGAATAACGGTAAATTGAAAATATCTCGAAAACGTATCCATAGAAAAAAAATTTACACTATTTTCGGAACCACCGAGCATTTCTACATGGGAGTTGGATATTGGCATCCATTGAACATTTTTCCTGTAAACCAGTGTTATTGTATAAAATAGTAGTTCGATATAATGTCTGAAAGTTGCATGCTCATTTCTGGGGTGGCATCCAATTTCGACATGAATTTGTTTTTTGTATACTTGTAAGCTAAAAACCCTGTTAATAGAGTACGTTGTGACAAAAGGAAGATGAGTTTTTTAGCGACTTCATGATATATACTCTTAAAACTAACCCAAAACTCTTTCAGAGACACAGATTCAAATTTGTGTTTCAATGTAGAAGTACTCTGGAGATCTATGAAAGCTACCATCCGAAAACTAATCTGAAGATTTCAGGTGATTTACCAAGTGCCCAGTTATGATATTTCACATTTCATTCGGCAATTCTTCGCGATGCCTGTAAAAAGTTCTATATAACCCTTTGGTTACAGCGGCCAACAACACATACCGGTTAGAAAAACAGAGCTGGCAAACGCACGCTCAACGCTCTTATGTAGGTATGGCACTCAATTTAAAATTTTAAAAACTTACGTTCGGCAAAAAAAAAAATATTTGTGTTTTCAAATTGCCTTGCAAGGAACACTTTAGAGTCTAAAAGTCTAAAGTTTAGACTCATGGATGTACAGTGAACATTTTTTCTGGTTCGGTCTAATGCACACACTTACACATTTAAATGGTTATACTCCTTTGTGCTGTCCAATAGATGACTATTAGTGAACAAACCCTCAAACCCGCACTAGGCCTATCACACAATAAATTTTCACTCCAAATGTGTGAGTATATAATTGCACGCAACGTGCTGCTTGCTGCATACGGCGCGCAGGCGCATTGACTATGATAGCTAAAGCGGCAAAATGCTATGCGTCGCTTTGTTATTTATTGTCGGTTGCTTTGCGAAAAATTGCAATTTATGCAAATTACGCTGTAAGTGAACTGATAATGAAACAATAATGTAAGCGGGTAACTTGGCTTTGTGGCGCATGGCAGCAGTGATGGGCATACTCAAATGTAGGATGTTTTTTAGAAGGGTAAAATTTTAAATAAATAAAATTTTCGTTAAAAATCCCTTATACCAAAACCGAAAGAAATCGTATGACTTTTAATCTTATGTTCTTACTCATAGTAACTCTTACTCTTAACTCTTACTGCATAAAAACTACTGAACGTCTGTTGAAGCTTATTGTTGTTATTATCATTTTGAAACCTGGTTATACACTGCTCCTCAACCATTCTCCATTCAACCATTTTAAATTTTGCAACCCACGACATCATTTTTTCAATACTAATCGCATACTCAAATTGCTCAACAGTATCAAATACATACTATTCGATACTCGATACTATTCACATCACTACGCGGTGTATAGCATCTGATGCCATTCTGTTTCCTTAGATAAGAGCATGATAAAAACATAGCAAGGTAGAACCGTTCTCTCAATTTGTCGGCCATGATTTTTTTTTTGAAGTTTGCCTACATTTTAAAATCATATGAAAGTGAAAATAAAAAATTGAAATTGTTCGAAATTGTTGTTGCTTGAGATTGAAAATGAAAATGTGTGTGTGAGTTTGGGAGTAAATTTAAAAATTAATTTGTTTGGAAACGTCAAAAGTGGCTCTCAGCGGTTCTACCTTACTATATTTTTATCATGGATAAGAGTCATACTCTGTCAGATTTCTATGCTGACATTGTCATCGGTCCTAATGTTATTCCAAAATAAACGAGGATGGTTGATTGTAATATGGTAGCAGGTGTTTCGCTTTATCCTCGTTCATTTCCAGACCCGCTAGGAGCCTAGCTTCTCCATTTTCCTAGACGACAATACCTTGCCTCTACCATAACCATCGCTTGCAAGAGAGTACACGCACGATTGCCTGTTCTATGGTGATGTGCAGTGGCTCGAGCGCAAGAACTATCTAGAGTTCGGTTGTCGCGCATATGCACATTGCTCCAGTAATGCAAACACCTCCAAACGTTATAGTTTGGTGGGAGACTGTGTCACCGTGGCTAGTGCGGTTCTGGAAGCCCAAGCCACCGCCCCGTATGTCACTATTCGTCATACTATCATGGAGTACATCCAACAAATTATCTTTGGGCTGCACTCCCAAAACTTGCCTGCTAAGCGCCTGCCCATCATTGGTGCCCTCGTAGCTTTTGATGTGGACGTGTCAACGTGAGATCTCCACAAAAGCTTAGGGTCCAGTATTTGACCCAGATAATTAACCTGGGCGGAAACCTTCATTCAAAGTTATATTCCTCATACCTGAAACGGTCCTTTTCCTGGTTTATGATACGATGACCGTCTTTGAGGAATTGATATTAAATCCCACTTTAGCATACCAACTGTTCGTTAAGTATAGACTTTTTTTTATTATATTGCAAAGGGTACTGTCCAAGTTTTCTCTAGTTATAATGACTATGTCATCCGCGTACCCCTCGAAGCGGATGCCATTTTCCAAGTGGATTTACAACGGTTCGTCAACTACCAAGCTCCACAGGAGTAGTGGCAGTACCCCCTTGCGGGCACCTTTTTTTTTTTGTTTGCAACTGTACCACTCAAGCCCAAATTTTAATCTCAGTGATTCTTATTGGGATTAGTCTGGGTAACAGTGGGTTGCCCCATCCGTTTCTCAAGTAGCACTTCGGAGAAATTGAAAGCCCTTCTCCGGGACTGGCCGAAACTTTTCATCAACTCCTTAGTCGGTGTCAATTACAGACTTGTTTATATAGCGAACAGATTACTGCAAGACGGACCGAGAAACGCAGACGCAAGAGTGGGAATTGAGTCCCATGAATAAATCAACGCCCAAGAATATTCTTAAAAAATTTAAAAAAGTATAATTAGCCACACAGAACTAAGTACATATATATTTACATACATATATACTACGCTAGAGCAAACCTCACCTAACTAGTAACAAACAAACTTGAACTATTTGCCTGACCTCACACATTTTGCTTCGTGTTGCCAGTGCCCACCGCAATGAAGTTAGGTGCCGCTCAGCAGTCATAATTAATCACTTTTACTTTCATAACAATTATAACAAACCTAAGTACATACAAACACACGCCATTACTTACATACATACATACACGCCTACTTGAACTACAGGCGCAAAGATAAATGAACTGCCGGAACTGATTTGTATAAACTAGTTTAATGCTAAATGCTTCCTATGTACCATAGTAATTAACCGCACCCCACAAGCAATAAATATGTCTAACTATGTAGTTCTTTATCTGAGAATATGAAAACCTTGATTTCGATTTATTCCAACTAAAATTCCCTTTGTTTGCAGCCAACGTACAATACAGGAGACCAAAGGCTGGGATGTATTTCGTGATCCGCCAATCAAGATCGAAACCGGCTCGACGGCCAATCAGGAATGCCTGGAGATCACTGTGAAGATTATGAAAATCTTTGCGTATTTTTTCACATTCATCATAGTGTTAACGGGTGGGGTTATGGCGAAGGGCTGTGTACTATTCATGACATCACAAATACGTAAGGATAAGAAAATAGAATACTGTAATAAGGATTTGGTGAGTAAAAGTAAAACAGTAATCATTCGTCATACATTTAACACAACTGCCTTTCATCTTTTTTGTAGGGCCGCGATAAAACCTTCGTTGTGAGGTTGCCGGAAGAGGAGCGCATTGCTTGGATTTGGGCCTTAATGATTGCGTATGCAATACCCGAAATTGGCTCCTTCATACGTTCGGCGCGTATTTGCTTCTTTAAGACCTTTCGTGCGCCCAAAACAGGCCATTTTCTTTTCGTAACGCTAATGGAGAGTCTGAGTTGCTTTGGTACGGCGCTACTGATGTTCGTTGTGCTGCCACAAATCGATGCCATACAGGGCGCCATGTTGACCAATTGCCTGTGCGTAATACCCGGCATACTGGGACTGTTGTCACGCAACGCCAAGGAGGGCAAACGCGCTGTGAAAGTTATAATCGATTTGGCAGCAATCGCGGCACAGGTTACCGGCTTTGTTATATGGCCGCTGCTCGAAAATCGTCCCGAATTGTGGGTCATACCAATTGCTTGCGTTATGATCTCTTGCGGCTGGTGGGAGAACTATGTCTCGCCACAGTCACCCATCGGGCTGGTGCGCTCAATGGGCCGCATAAAAGAAGAGATGCGTAGCACGCGCTACTTTAGTCACATGTTCATTTCCATATGGAAGATTTTGTTGTTTCTGTGTTTGGTTCTCTTCATATTTTGGGCGCAAGGCGACGATCCCGGTGATATATTCAGCATGTATGGTGATGCTTTGGGGCCACACAAGATTTTAGTGGATGAGCTGGCTACCAGTCTGACCGGAAATTTGCCGGACACTTTAGATGCAGCCAACATAGATAGTATTGAGATTGATGCCGCGCACAACACAGTCATCTATGTACTGTTGTTGCAGATTTTCAGCGCTTACCTTTGCTACATCTTTGGCAAATTTGCTTGCAAAATTCTCATACAAGGTTTCAGTTATGCCTTCCCCGTCAGCTTGACGATACCTATCACAGTGTCACTGCTAATCGCAGCCTGCGGCATACGCATCGACGATCCTTGCTTCTTCCATGATACCATACCGGACTATCTGTTCTTCTCGAGCCCACGCAACTTCCGCTTCAACGATTTTGTCACACAGCAAATGGCATGGGCGTGGATATTATGGTTGCTCAGTCAGACTTGGATTTCGCTTCACATCTGGACACCGAAGTGCGAACGTTTGGCCACTACCGAGAAATTATTCGTGCGACCTATGTATTCGTCATTATTAATTGACCAATCTATGGCCATGAATAGGCGCCGGGATGATCAGGCGGACGTGAAGACGGAGGTGGGTGCAACTATAAGTTATGATTTTAGATAAAAGTGAAAATAATTTTGTATGTTTTCCTTAGGATCTCTCGGAAATCG